CAACTACAAAGAGACTCACAATGATTACAAAACAACTACAAAGAGACAAAAAATGACTAAAAAAACAACTACAAAGAGATACAAAAAGACTCCAAAGATCAAAACAACTGCAAAGAGACTCACAATGACTATTAAAAGTGGCAAAACAACTACAGAGAGACAAACAAGTACCAAAGACACAAGGCAACTAAAGTGACTTAAAGTAACTACAAAGAGAAACAAAACAACTTCAAAGAGACACAGAAAGACTGCAAAGATCAAAACAACTGCAAAGAGGCTTATTAAAAGGGGCAAAACAACGACAGAGAGACGAGTACCAAAGACACATAGCAACAAAGAAACTTAAAATGACCATAAATACATGCAAAACAACCACAGACAAAGAAATGAACAACAAAAACCCAAAACATTTACAAAGAGACACAAAATGACCAAACATTTACAACAAATAGACACAAAACAACGACAAAGAGACACAAAACAACTACAGAGAGTCTTTACGTTATCTTGGATGCTATTTAATAGTATTTTATACATTATAGAATTTATGTTATTATAATACTGACTAATCTGCTGATTGTTGTCTCCAGTAATTAATTGATCCATAAAATGTTACAGAATATTAAGCATCATTGTCCATTTGAGATTGTTGTAAATTTAGATTCTGAATTATTTAGATTTTTCCAGAATTTAGTCGTAGGTGACATATTGCTTCTCCAGTTCCATGAAGTCATTATTGGAGGCAGCAGCGACATGCTGTGAATAAAAACCTCCATTTTCCAGAACGATGATGTTCAGATCCTTCACTGTAATGAGGAAGATGAGGAACAAGACGAACAAGAGGAAGAGGAGGAACAGGAGGAAGAGGAGGAACAAGAGGAAGAGTGTCTCTCACACACAGAAGCTTCAAACTTTGATCAGCAGCAGTTTGATGTTTTCCATCTGAAGATGTTCAGCTTCATGTTCTTCTGCCGGGTTTGGTTCCTGCACACGGTTCTGAGCTGCTGCAGAGGAAGCTCCACAGGTACGAGTAAGATTACATTTTAATATCAACGTCTGTATTCGCTTTAGATTCATGTTACATTGCACAATCCTAACTCGTTAAAGACGTATTTTATATTATTGTTTTATTGAGTATCTCATGGAAATATGTCATCTCAAAATAAAAGACAACTCAAATATTAGATTAAATACTTCAGAAGAACGTATATATTTTAGTTTAAACTTAAAATGAGTTTGTTGAAATAAAACACCAAAAGTGAATCTGACTCAACAGAAGGAAGAATAGCTTTTGTAACGTTCAAAACAAAAGGGGGAATTTTAACGTTTGATGTGAATTTGGGGAAATAAAATAGTATAAACTTTATTGCCCGACAGTTTACCTTTATTTACAATAAACCAGTGAGGAGAAACCTCAACCAACCAAAGAAAGAGAATTTTTCAACCCTTAATTTCTACATTCATAAAATAGCAAAAACAGTCTTTAAACTATAAAGACATTGATATGAACTAAAGTTTAACAGCAACTTTTTTCTGTGACTGCATTTAAAATGTATTATTATTAAAGTAAGCCCTCACATCTTTTTCCCATACAGTTTTATTGTAATTAAAACTTTTAATTCTTTCATAAAAACATTTGTGCACATTATTAATGTTCATTTTCTCATGAACAACAATCCCACTTGCAGTCACTATCATTCTGTGTGACAGTTGTGTTCCTGGGTTGTTATTTGAGGCTGACATGAGTGGAGCATGTTTCCATGAGATAAAACAGGAAACAAGGCTAAAAGCATCAGCAGGATGTGAGTGATGCAGAGGACATGCAGTCATGTGTTTGATCATGTCTTATAACATGAAGATGTCTTAAACGTAACAGACGAGTTCAGGTCTCAGGGAGTTTCTGTCCTCCAGCAGTGATCCGGTTTTCAGTCCCGGAGGACCACCACATCTGCCTGCCATGTGGCGGCTCCGACAGCTCCGTAGTGATCTGGACTCAACGGGACCAGAAGGTCCCGGTGAGCCGACAGGGCAGCTACGAGGCCAACGAGGACAGCCAACGTTACCGCTTGCTGTCTGACGGCAGCCTCTGCCTCCAGCGGCTCGACGACTCCGACGGCGGGACGTTCCGCTGCAACCAGCAGCTGGTGGCCGAGCTGCAGGTGCTAACAGGTACACTGGAGGCGGGGCTAGGAGAGGTGCATTATGGGAGCAAAGGGGGGACTTATTTAGGAGTGTGTCTTTAAACTTTTAACTGATTATGAAACAGTTTAACCCTCATCCTCTCTATGAACCACTCCCCGTTTAGTCCTGATCCTCTGTCAGACCTCCATCAGTAAACAGACCATCAGAGAGAAGATGGTCTGTTTCTATAGAGTTATTCTTGATGCTCGTCATCGGAGCCACTGGGTCGGATTCTGGTGAAACCAGATGACATCATGCAGGTTCACCAGAAACTCCTCCTCCTCCGGACCCAGGACGTATTGCTGGACCCGCTGGAGGGAAGGGAGGCACGGGAGAACCAGAACCAGGACTGAGAGGGGCAGACTGTCAGACCCTGCTGCTGTAAAATGAGGTTTTCTAAAGCGAGTCTGGTGCTCAGAGACACTACCACTTTAGTCCACAGGGGGCGACAGAATCAACACAACATGAAAGTTTATTTTAGTAACTTCAAACAGAAGCGAAGCGTTGAGCTCAGATCATCAGTTTCAGAGGGATTCCTCCAGGACGACTTACACAGTATTTAATCTATCGTAGAGAACAATTATATTTGTATTTGTGTCAGCTGGCTGATAAGTAACAAGAAATTGCCGTACAAAGAATCGTGGGGTTGGGAACCACTTAACTTAATATGGACTCTTAATAAACATCTAAAAAAATACATAAATACAACCAGATTTAATGCAAAAGAAAAACCTCTTGTTTTGGTTTTAATATGTGTTAAAGTAAAATTGATTATAAGCTTTTCAAATATCAGTATATATAGTATTCAGCCTCAAAGCTCCATGTTTGTCGAGCTGTTCAGTGTAAACACAAGTGCAACATAGTTTGATTTCACATTGATTCAAACAAAGGTGTCAGAATATCCAGCATGAGTCAGTCAGTTATGTGCAACAGTTCTTATAGACGTCGTCAGAAAAAACCACAGTTCGTCTGGAGGGAAGTAAATCAACCTGATGTCGTGTGAAAGATGTTGTGAAATGTTTTACACGCTACAGTTCTTTTGTTTTTCTGTGTAGAGGATGTTGAGGACGTAACAAGAGGAGGGACGGGATTAGAAAGTTTAATACTTAAAGTTCCCACGCTCTGAATGAGACACAAACGTCACTCACAGTAGTGTTTAGCTTTTCTTATGGCCCTTTCAAACGTAAAATACTGACTAAATACATATTTATGACCGATGCTACTGCTGCTAGAGCGTTAGCTTGAGTATAAGATTGAGTATTTAGAGCAGTAAAATCAAACTGCTTCAAAAGGGAAGTGAAAGGTGTTTTGAGTTCTCAGGAATTAGCCACCACGCCGGCAGCCAGAGTGGCACCAACAGAGGCTGAACTCTGACGCCACCACAGTGTTTCTTGTTCCAGATGCTGACGCTGCACACGTCTCGCCTTTGTGCGGCTAACTGAAGCTGCTTATAATCACAAGGTTGTCACTCCAAATTTGGCGTCCATGTTTGGGCTGCATTTGATCCACGAACATGGCAGAAGTGCTAAAATGCTGACTCATGCACAGGTTTTAGGACTCATTCCAGCAGCACTCTAAACTGGAGAGGACAATACATGTCAAAGACAATTACCCATAATTCCTCTGCATCTCTGCCCCCTCAGGCCATGACTTCATAGTGTCTGCAGGCCGGACGCTGCTGCTCCCCTGCAGCCGCTCCTCCAAACCCAAGAAGAAGTGGTCCCACCGGAGGGAAGGAGGGCGGTGGGAGGCCGTCCTCACCCGGTTCAGAAACGGTACGGTGAAATCGGAGAGGAGCCGGCTCAGCCTCGGGAACGACGCCCTGCAGATCCAGGACCTGCAGCCGGAGGACGCCGGAGAGTATCTGTGCAACGGAGAGCTGCAGGGAACACTCACCGTCCTGACAGGTGGCTCGTTCAGATGGAATATAATAAGTCTATTGTGAAACAGAAATACAAGCAAAAGCTCAGTGTGCTGAGTTTAATTATACTGTAAACACTTCATGTACCTCAGCTGCAGAGGGTACCAGGCTTTCATTAGAGAGAGATCGTGATTTTTTACCTGTTTGACGAGTATATATGGTCATATTTCTTACTGCAGTTTGGCTCCTCCAAGTGGTGACACATATTAAAATAAATAGATGTTTCTGGATTATTCAGGGCAGCCAGAGCCGACCAGCATCCAGCGAACCACCAGCACAACTGGAACAGCTGCTGCTATGGTAACAGGTAGGAAGCTGCTAAGTGCTTATTTATTTATACATCCATACCAGCCATTATGTTGACAGAATTGGTTTTGATTGCGTATCTATAACTTCTCTTGTCCCTAAAATCTCAGTGAAACATTTAGGAAATAAACTATTAATAGTGAATGACGTTAGTCTGGATTTGTGTGTTTCTGTTCATCAGATGAGGCTGACGTAAAGAAGACGGAGAAGAAGAGACCAGAGAACGGTGAGTCAGCACCTCCGAACACCTTCACCTCTCACTGAAGGTTTAGTTACAGATGTGTCTGTGGTCTCGTCTAATGAGTGTTTACTTGTCTGTGGTCTTTAATGAGTGTTTACTTGTCTGTGGTCTTTAATGAGTGTTTACTTGTCTGTGGTCTCTCAGCCTTGCTGGTGGTTGCTGTGGTCGGCTTGGCGTTGATGATCTTCCTTCTGGCCGCCGTCTGTGTTTTACTGACCAGCTTGAAGTGCAGGAGGAACACGAAATACAGATGTGCAGGTATCTGATAGACACAGAGACATTATACGTGGTGTAATTCATCATCACTGGATCTACAAGTTCAGCTTTCCCTAGACCCTGACTAGTCCAGTCCCAGACCAGTCCAGGCCTCGACCTAAACCCTGACCAGTACAGACCTCAATCCTGACAAGTCCAGACCTCGAATCTGACCAGACTGGACCTCAACCATGACCATTACAGTCCTTGACCCTAACCAGTTCATGACCCTGACTAGACCTCGACCCTGACAAGTCCAGTCCTACAGTTTTCAAGTTTGGTGCAACTTGAAGTGAAACCATGATTTAATCTGCTTTAAAAATGAACCTTTGTTGGTGAAGACCAGCACCAGGCTTTGTCTCTGAACTCCGCAGGCACTTCCTTCCACCTCACAGCTTTGTTGTCATCAGGTGTGTGCTTTCCCAAATCATGTCCAATCACCTGACCTCACCTTGACCACAGGTGGACTCCACTCAGGATGAACGTCTCAGGGATGATCAGGAGAAATGAGAGCAAACTGAGCTCAAATACAAAAAGTCTGAAAAGTCTTCTTTTCATTTTCTTCTGCTTTCTTCGTTTCTCAACTCCAATTTTGTTTAATAGTTTAATTTATTCATGTTCTGAAATTAGGAAACATGTCTTTGATGTTTAGATGCCGTATCTTCCTGATTTAAGTTTAATTGGAGTTTCCTCAACCCCTCCCTCAGATTTCTCCTCCTATTTTACTAAATTTGACATTTAGAATAGAAACTGTTTTGAGAAGCTTCAGCTCTCTTCTGTTTCTCTCCAGCACAGAGGCGTGAAGACACCGAGCTGCAGCCGTGGACCACGTCCAACACACCAACCGGTAACACCGTCACACCTTCAGTACCGCTCCTTTCATTGATCCTCAGGTCTGTTTTCACCTGACACACCTGTGTCTCAGCAGAGCGAGAGGTTTACGAGAGTCCGACTCCGCCCGAGGAGACGATCCATTATGCCTCTCTGGGCCGACAAAACTGGAGGGAGAGACCCGGCAGGACTCCGCCGGACCAGGACCGACACCACGTCATCTACTCCTCTGTGGTCACCAGACCGGCCAAACAGAAGCGAGCTCTGCTGCGTCCTGTCGTCTGATCAGAATGTCGCATGTGAAACCACGAGAGGCTGTTTCATTTAAAATGTGCAGATATACTCTTAACCCTCTCCTCGTGGTTAGACATCCGAGCCCTCCGTGGACAGAGAGCTCGATCCGTTCAGCTGAACTGTTCTTAGTGTTCAATAAATACTTAAAGACGTTTGAGAGTTTTCTCATCACGTTTATTTCTCACGTACAATTAAACTTCCCATCATTATGTGCGTATATCTGGCAGTAACTGCGTTTCCGTCACATTCCTCGTGGTGGTTTTTATACGTAAATGATTGTCAGGAAGCAACAGATCAGTTGCTCTACAAGTGAAAGCGAAGTAGAGCGTCACTTCACAGTCGAATGAGTTTCAATATGAAGGAAAGAAATATAGCTTAAAGTACCGTAGTTGTGAAATAGAGATTTAGTTTCTCCAGCATATTAAGGACGTCAGCCTTTATAGAGATCATTTATAGAAACCTGAATTAAAAAAGTAATTAGTGACTTGTTTAAAGAGCAGAAACATAATTGTAGAAAGAATAGCTTAATAAAATATCTAATGAATTACATTCATGGTCGTTTCTCTGCTGTTAAGAACACAGCGCCGCTCTATCTGCGGTCACGTGACGCGTTTGGGTTCTTGCGGCTCATCACTGCCGAGTACGTCACGTCGTCTTCGACCAATCCTGTCCCTCCTCGGCCGGAGGGGCGGGGCTTGTCTGCGTGCTTCAGACTGGAATAGTGCAAAGACTCTTCCTGCAGAGACAGGAAACGGAATTAACCTCCACAAATTCTCCCAAATAAACATTCAGTCATGTCAGATCAGTCATTTACATCAGGACCTTCAGTTTTTGGATCAAGTAGCTCGAGAACAATCTGAATTCAGTTAACTACAGCTTGTTATATATATATATATATATATATATATATATATATATACACATACTGTATATTTAACCAATAGTTAAGTACTGTTGGTTATAGAGGTCAAAAGTCAAAGTGTACGACTCAGTCTTTGTTATCACGAGAAAAAAACTGGATATCAGCTCACAAGGTGCAGCAGGAGGAGATTACATTAACCCTCTCAGGGAGAGAGCTCTCAGTCTGCATCTTCTGTACAAGCTGCACTAGACTGGAACTCCATTAACATCCCAGTTCATATTAATACTTCATCTATTTATCTCATATTATCCACCAGAGAACTACAAACATACAGTCAGTACTGTTACTTTGCAACATCTGCCTCTTGGGACTACAGATGACAGCAATGTTTTGTTAGTGTGCACTGTCCCTCTTCAAATAAACCGATAAATTAGACGTATAAAAAGTACCACGATAAAAGTACACGTCAGACTTTTAGCCAACAGCGAACAGTAAAACAAATAGGTTTAGTTTTGCTATTGAGTGCAAAGTCTGGACATTTTTGTGTGCTTTTAATTGCAGCTGAAGGAAGGAAGGAGTAAAGAATAAGGGAACAAATAAGGAAGGAAGATAAGGGAAGAAACAACAGGAGAAAAGAAAAAGGAGAATAAAACATTTAACTATTTTTAACTGTTTACCTGCATGACATGATAGATAAATCAGTGTGGAATATAATTATTGTTATGATGAATACAGTATGTTATTCATTACGTGGTGCTCATACTGACCTCTGTGACCCTCTGACTGGTGTCTGCATCACAGCAGCCAACAGCTGCTTTACCTGAAAACAAGAGAGAGGTTTAAACAAACAGCTGATCACTGTTTTAATCAGGATTGAACAGGACTGGCGTTAATTCACTGACTCTGAATCCAGCAATCAAAGGTTATTTGATATAAATATGAATAATTCTGAGCTTCTTGTCGAGTCAAACGTTGATTTAACGATTGAACACAGAAGCCCGGCCCCGGTGCTGTGAGTCAGTCAGTAAGTGAAAGTGAAAGTTTAGAAAGTGGCTCCAGAGCGAGTTGTTTGTGTCGAAGCAGCGACAGAAGAACGCGTCCAGCTCTTTGCTCGAGGACATCAGCGGCTCAAACCGTGTTTTACATTTATCTCTATTCAAGGGACAGTAAGGCTCGTGTTCCCGGCGGCAGCATGCCGGACACCCGGCTGTGTGTGGAGGCCCTGTCGGCTCTCTCCGGCTGTAACGTCGAGCCCACCGGCGCAGCCTCGCAGCTCTCCCCGCAGGACTTCGTCAACGTCGTGGCCCTGAAGGAGTTCTACAAGCAGCAGGGCTTCCAGGAGCTGGAGTACCCGAGTTTGGGGACTTTGTCCCTGCGGGACTTGGACGAGCAGGACCTGTACAGCTCTCCGGCGGCGCTGACCGAAGGCCCCTCCACTGCCGGGCCCGAGGAGAGCCACAGGGCCAAGATGCGGATCAACCCGGAGGACTTCTTCCATCCGCAGTACGACTACGACTTCACCAACGTGAAGGTGAGGCGGTCACCTGACGTCCCACTGACGTCACGGTGACTACACGTTAATCTGCTACTAACGTGTAGAATATGAATCATATGGTTTAAGATCAATAACACCATCGAGTTAAGCAGCTTTAGTGATCACGTGTTTCTATTTTGGTGGAGAAGAATGTGAAATGTGATGCTGGAATGTTAATGAGGGAGGGAGGAGGTAGGAAGTGAAGGAAGGAGTGAGTGAGTGAGGAAGTGAGGGGGAGAGAATGAGTGAGCGAGGGAGGAAGTGAGGTAGGGAGGAAGGGGGGGAGTTAGTGAGTGAGTGAGTAAGTGAGGGAAAGAGGGGGAGAGATTGAGTGAGCGAGGGAGGAAGGGAGTGAGAGGGTGAGTTAGTGATTGATGGGAGGGAGTGGGTGAGGGAGGGAGAGAGGGAGTTAGTGATTGATGGGTGGGAGGAAGGAGGTTGGTGAAGGAGTGAACAAGGGAGGGAGTGAGGGGTGAGGGAGGGACAGAGAGAGGGTGAAAGAAGGTGAGTGGGTGAGGGAGGAAGGGAGGGGCCGGAGGAGGGAGGAAGGAAGTTGGTGAAGGAGTAAGGTAGCGAATGAGGGAGTGAGTGAGGAAGGGAGAGAGTAAGGGGTGAGGGAGGGAAGGAGGTGAGTGGGGGAGGGAGGGAGGGAGTGGCTAAAGGTGGGAGGAAGGAAGTTGGTGAAGGAGTAAGGTAGCGAACAAGAGAGAGAGTCAGCGGTGTAGGAAGTAATTGGGTGAGGGAGGAAGTGAGTGAGGAAGGGGTTAATGAGGTGAGTGGGTGAGGAAGGAAGGGAGAGTGTCAATAAGTGAGGGAGGGAGTGAATAAGGGAGTGACACTTTGTTCCAAATCACAAACGGTTTCTTTTTACTTTTAGTTCAATACTGTGATTAGCACATTAGCATGTTAGCCTGTTAGCATGTTCCTCCGACCCCGCTGACCCTGCTCGTCCTCCTCCAGGACGGCGACAAAACATTCCTGCGCGGCAACGAGCGGTACGTCCGTCCCTGCGGGTGGAACCGGGTCGCCCTGCGGGTCACGCAGCGGTACGACGGCGGGGACACCTGGCTCGGGACGGGGAAGGACGCCTGGCCCGTCTCCTACCACGGGCAGAACATGGACGGCTCCCTCGGCATCATCCTGACCCACGACGGGAGCACCGACGACGAGCCAACGTTTCTGGACTTCGCCGCCGCCTCCCTGGTCACCGGGGAGACGAGGGGCAGTGGGGTGTACTCCACGCCGGACGTGGTGATGGCGGAGAAGTACTGCAAGAAGTTCAAGTCCAAAGTGGACGGGAAGACGTACAAAGTGGTCCTCCAGAACCGCATCAACCCGGAGAAGAGGAAGGACTGCCAGAGGGAGGGCGTCTGGTTGGTCTACGTCCCGAAAGGACACAACGACATCCAGACAAGGGCCATCGTGCAGGAGTCCATCCGCCCGTATGGCCTCCTGCTGAAGGAGGCGTGAGGAAGCTGATCGAACCTCCTCTTCAGCGTGATCAGGGAATTATCTTTTCAACCTTTCGTGTTCTTGATTATCAACAACAACAAAAATGACGAAAATAAAAGTAAATGCTGCTGAAGAGGTCTTTAGAAGTGAATCAAGTCCCACTTCCTGTCTGCTCGTTGGGCGGTGCGTTAAGAGAAAACCAAGGTCAGTCTTTTCTTACTTCTTATCCAGAATAATGCTTCCTCTCAAATCCAACCTTACATCACCGACTGTGTGTACCTCAAGCTGCCTTATTCTGAGTTTCTTGTTCAAACAAGCTCTGTAGAAATCAATTTAACTGTATTTACACACAGCCGGGTTAAAGCCGATGGGTTTAGCTGCTGGAGAACCGTTTCTTCTGTAAACGTTTAACTTAAATCTAAGCAGCAGTTTCTTCATGATGTGTTCGAATGCAAGAACAGACCGTGGGAGGAGTTTATGCTGCCATCTAGTGGTGAGTTTCTACGATCTTTATTTCTTTAAGGAAACAGATAGTTATGCATGATGAGCAAACTTTTGACAAAGTAGTGACATTTAATTAGTTTTAATGTGAAGATCATTTGAACTAATAATTTAAGTGAGTTGATCGTCGACCGTGAAGCTGCACAGATGTTTGCTGATGTTGCTGTGAAGTACGACGGCACTCGTCTGTTTTTCGTGGCATCATTGCAAGTTTATTTTAGTTAGAACGTGTTTGTTTGTGTATGTGTATCCTTCATTTTCCGTTTTTGTAGTCCAAACATCCAATGTGACTACAATTCCCTACTTTGAAGGACGCACTTCTTCCTTGTATGTCTGATGGTTCGACTTTAAATGTAATAAAATAACGTGCAAAGATCCTGGTGTGAGGGTACTTTTAATGTAATATTCTAGTTTTTAACAAGGTGATACATCATGATGTCATGAGATACTTTTAAAAGTATGCATAACAATTGTAAACTATACACACTAAATCTATGAAATATACACTTTGTTGTAATCTTCACAGTTTATTTTTGCAGATCTCTTCACATCTAAATGTACAAAGTAGCAAAAGTAAAAGTACTCACTCAAAGTACCACTTTAATGTTGCAGCTGGTTAAATGTAACTACTTTATATACTGCGATGTAGCTTAACCTATAATAATTAAAGTAACTGGTAACAAGAGATCTCACATAAATGTAATAGAGTAAAAACTATAATATAAGTAAATATATATTGTTTTTTATATATATTCAAGTTAACTACAAGTACCTCAAAATTGGTCTTGGGTCCATGTAGTGAGCACTTTCCACCACTGGGTGGGGACACTGTCCTCCCTTTCCAGACATGTCCTCTCTATCAATGTCCTCACAAAGATAGACGTAAAGGACACACACACACACACACACACACACACACACACACACACACACACACACACACACACACACACACACACACACACACACACACA